TTCTAATCCTTGAATATGCAGCCAAAGGAGAACTTTATAAACAACTTGTAAAATCAGGTAGACTTAAAGAAAAAAAAAGCATCAAGGGGTTTGTTTATTAATTTTCTCAATACATAAATTGTTTTCTGAATTTTATGAGTTCATTTCTTTTTCTAAAATAGTATATTGCACAAACAACTGGTGCTTTAAGTTATATTCATCAAAAACATGTTATTCATTGAGATATAAAACCAGAAAACTTGTTGATAGATTTGAATGATGAAATCAAGATTGCAGATTTTGGATGGTCTGTGCATACAATTCAAAGGTATGCTACAAAATGAAATTATGTCATTTACATTTTTACATTTGTAAGAATATTTCAATTAGTTTTGCTAAACATTTTGTGGTACATTGGATTATCTTCCACTCGAAATGGTAGAAGGTAAAGAACATGATGAAAAGATAGATCTTTGGTTACTTGGTGTTTTGTGCTAAGAAATTTTGACAGGCACCGCACTATTTGAAGAAACTGGTCATACTGCAACATATAAATGAATTGCAAAAGTTGAGTTCACACTTCCTGATCATTTGTCATTTGAGGCTTGTAACTTGATTTGTTCGGTAACCATCTTTAAATATTTAAGTATTTTGTTAATAAAGTTAGTGTTGATTTTAATTTTATATTACAAACATAGTTACTACAACGTGACCTGAAACAACGTCTACCTTTGAAAGATATCTTGAAACATCCATGGATTCAAAAATACCAGAAAAACCCGTGAATATAATTCCTTTTTATAGCTATGTAAAATACATTAAGTAGTTACATTTAATTACTAAGTAATTATTGTGTTAAAATTTAATACAAAGTTTGAGTCGAAAAAACAGTCTATTAATCCTACTTTGAATCAATAATATCTACAAATTTGCATATTGGTTGAAAGCAAGTTAAAAAGCGATTTTCCTGAAAATTTTCACCCTTAACTATTATTTAACTGATCGTTCAAATGTCCTTGATTACCTGAAAATATATAAAAGTTTCAACAAATACCTTAACTCATATAAAGACTAAAAAAGCTTATTTTTTCACGTAACTAATAAAATAGGTTGAGTAACAATTTTATGAAGAATAATAAAGTTAACAAAAAAATTTATATATAGATATACAGAAAAAATACGTCATCAACCCTACCTTCGACTACAGTTTATGACAAAAATGTATGAAGTTTGATTATTTAATCAAGTAAATAGATGAGTAAGAGTCATATTAATAAAGACCATCTAATGTAGTTCTAAGAGTTCTGGTAGTAGTAAATTCCTTGATTCTCAGAATACCTTTTTTTGAGTAGCTATTGTGTTTTTGGTTGTGTTTTAAATTATGAATTATAGTAACCCTTTTATATTTGGTAGGCAATTCCTAAATTTGTGCCAGGTTGGTGGCAAATTAATCAGCCCAAGTAATTTGCACAAATTAAAAAATTCCAATAACAACAATAAATTTGAGTTTTAATAGAATTTTAACGTTATTCTACTCGAATCAAATATTCTTGCTACAGTTTTGAACCAAAAAATATTTATATTCTTTTACTGTTATAATTTTTATAAATTTATAGACCAGAATAATAACAACTCGTCAAAGTTCTAATATAATATGTGTAAAAAATATATATATAGTATTGGCCTAATAAACACGTACTATGTAGTTTATAAAAAAAATTCTTTAAATGAAAAAAAAACTTTCTTATACAGTAATCTACGCTAAAAAAAGAATAATAGTAGTATTCCTTATTTTTAAAGGGTTTCACTTTTAAAACTAAATTTTATAAGCTTTGTTAATTCTTACATACTTCTTACATTACTGCAATATACTCACATATTAAGTACTTTTTATAATATACAAACTAAAAAGTTTAAATTATAATAGTTCTGTATAGACAGTATTCATAACTTCAATTCACAAAAGAAAATAGAAACCATTCAAAGTACAGGACGATAATAACTTCATTAAATTTGATAAAATTTTTTTAAATTTAATTCTACAAGCCTGTAGAATTAAATTGCCAAATTTCATGAAGTAATTATCAGAAATATTTATCTAAAGTTTAACAATTAAAGTTGCAACGCAATAATTTCTCGACAACCATGTGATCAAAACTTGAAATTTTTTTATTTTAATTCTACAAGCATCTAGAATTAAAATAAAAAAAAACTTTATCGAATTTGATCAGGTAATCTCCGAGAAAACTTTTGATTCTCTTGTAAAAGAAAAAATTACTTTTTTTTTTTTTAAACTTAAAGTAATTGTTTCTCAATAACTATTCAATCAAATTCGATAAAAATTAATGAATAAGTCATGATGACGATGACATTGAATAAAGAGGATAAGAGGATATCATTTATTAAATTCTATTCTCTGAATTTTGTGCTTTCCCACTAGCGGAGTAAAATTTCATTCAACATTATCAAGATTAAGGAATTTATTGATCGAATCATTAGCAACGATAAATTATAAACATTTACTAAAAAAAAGGTTTTGTACCATTGTATAAAAACTACTAATAAGAATTGCGAGTAGTCTATGTTTTAAAAGAGTAGTCTACAGACACCTACCAGTTGTACAACTGGACTGGTAGATGCCCGTAGACTTCGTTTTAAAATCGTTGAGATCACATGATCGACCGACCTTTCTAAATTCCACTTTTCCGAGTTTTAGAACTGATCTATATCAAGTGTTTTAAAGTAGTAAGTTCTTTTTTAATCATTTCAACTATCATTAAACGATTGTATATAGAAGTCTCAATTTATCTATACCGATCAATATTATGTGCATATTTACTAAAATTTTAAAATATTTGTGGTGATAGTAAAAAGTAACGGTAACAATGTTTTTAGTGACCAGTTAGTAACTTTTAAAACACCCAATATAATTGACTAGTAGTTATGCGATATAAAAGTGAAATAATATGCTAATGAAGCCGACAATGACGAAAAACGGCGCATTGAAATGGGCAACAACACCAATGACATCGGCAGTCAATTATGAAGGAATGATATAGGTCGCCAATAGTAACGATGATTTTAGAATGTATATAAAAGGCGAAAACTGCATCTCGCCTTATTTTCTTATATGACAAGACATAAAAATCATACAGTTTTAGGTATTATCGAATATGTTAAACACAAAATTAAGTGACAATTCCTGTGATCATTAAGTTCGCACTTTGGATTCTCAAAATTCAGATGAATGTAAAAAAATCCATAGGTAACATCCATTCAATCTTTATTGAGCACAAGAATGCTAATCGATTAGGCTGTCATTATGATAAGGGTAGTTAAATACACTTTATTTCTTATAAAAAAGAAATATATACAAAATTAATGATATATAAATAAAATGATGCATCTAAAATTACATTATTCTCTTAATCCTATTTACTATTATCATTCATTAATATTAAGTCACCAAAATTTAAATCCAGTAGTTTTTTTATCTTTGGTTACTTTGTCATTGCTATCTTCGACATTATTTTGTGCTAAATTACTGCTTCCTGGTTTATGACCTTTCTTGATATTGATACCAAACATATGTACTTTTTCCTCAGATACATCGCCATCGACCTTATTATTACTATTATCATTACAATTACTACTATTACAATTATTATTATCATTAATCACTGGTGTGGATTTCAATTGTCGTTTAAGAGATTGTTCTTGAACTTCTTTTAACAAACTTGAATTTGATCCACTCTTTTTTCGAACGTGAGATGTTGATAAAAATGAAGATGGTGATGGGGGATCTTGTGCTGTCGTTACTTCACGATTAATTTGTTCTGTTGCTACAGTGCATCGAGTCTTCAAACTTCTAGAAAATTCATATTTCTTAAACTTATCTGGATTATTATATACTGATGCGTTATGATGATCTGATGGATATCTTGATTTTCGTGAATTGATATTATTGATATTTCGTGGAATTATACCACCACTACGTGATATCGGTCGTGGCCCTTTTAATATCCATTTAAATTGTTCCATAGCTGCTTCTCGATTATTAAGCTGTTTATAAAATAATTCACCAAGCTATGAAATAGTTTATAAAATTTAATGTTAATTACTTCCAAGCTTTTTTTCGTGAAATAATAATAATAATAATAATTAATACAAAACTTACTTCATATCTGCAATGAGGAATGACCCAAGTTTCACTAACAATATCCGTTTCTAAAGATATACACTCGCAAAGTGTTGTTTGAGCGGTTGTAGGTGTGTTCAAGAACTTTTCAAAAACTCCACGAATGAGTAAGTATATAGCATGTGTGTCTGTATCAGTTGGTTTTTGAATTTTCTATTAATAAAAATATAAAATGACTTAGATAAATATTTATATGAATATTTGGTAAAAGAAAAAAATTTTTTTACATACCTCCCATATTGTTTCTAGCAAGCTCGCCCATTTTTCTTTTAATTTTAAAGGCATATAGACAATATCCCTTCGAAAGTAAAGAATAACAAATAAAATAAAAGGTGAAACTGAATTTTTTTTAACATCTTTAGAAGAATGTCGACCAGCAAATTGGTTATAACGATTCTATTAAGATGAAATTTTTGTATAAATATATATATGATTGATTATGTGAATACATATAAATAATAATAGTAATAATAATATCACCTTCGACTCCTTTTTATCTTTGGAAATTCCGACTCCAAATCCAGCAAATCCAATGCAACAAGCCGTACTACTACTATTCTCTACTTGATGATTGGTCATTGCTTGAGTTTGTTTTAAAACATCAAGAGCTTCTTTATTAGAATTTTCTTTGGACATAACTAAAAGATAACATCCTGCCAAACATAATCCACAGAATGGTCTCAATTCAAATTCGAAAAATTGTGATAAAAGATTCTTTTTCGTGCCATTATCTCGAGTTTTGAAATGGCCAGAGCCTTTCAATGATTCTTGAAGTCTAATAGATCCTTTGTTATTAGTAAAAACAATCGTGTTACCATAGAAAAGTAACTCGAATATGTCCTTGGCTGCTGAAAAGTCTTGATTAATTAAATATGTAATCCCCATTTCGAATCGATGAATTGTGCTAGTAATGCCAGCATTTTCACAACTTTTAATACTAGCAGTTATATAGTTTATAGCTCCTTGGATATTTTCTGTTTTACGAGCTTGTTGACAGGCCATAAATAAAAATGATGAACCGTATCTGTAAATTATAATATCAATTAATTTTAATATACATCTATTTTGTATACTGATTGATAGATTAATTAACTTACGGAAATTTTTCACAGCATTCTTTAACGATCACTCCAGCTCTGGTTAGTGATGGTGCAGCATCAGCAAGTCCTCGAGTCAGGAAAAGATAATTGACAAGAAGGAACAAAGCGGCGAAGGGAGCTATAGGTTTTTTTTTTGAAAAAAATAAATGAATAAATAATTTCAAATTATACATAAAAATATATAATTTATTCTAGTATAATGAATTTTACCTCGAACACCATCACGATTATAACAATTTTCAATCATTCGAATAGCTCTTTCACGGTCAGCATTAAATCCAAATGCTTTTAGCATGGTCAAGAATGATCCGGGAACCTGTAAAAAAATTTTTGACCGATTATTTTAAATTGTTATTATTTAAACAATGAAATTAGAACTAAAAAAACAAAAAGCTTACATTTGAAACAACAAAATAAAAGACGCCAATACTAAATTCTAGACAATCTTCAATGTCAGGGTCAACTTCTATTAAGTTGACAGAATCACTCATTCCACTCGAACTATCTCGTTTATGACTACCAAAAAGTCCGGAATTACTCGCAGTGCTTCCACGTTTTCCTATTAGACTACTACTAAAATACCATTTACCACTACTTGCACTGCTAGGTTCACTATTATCATTTTTTTTAGCACTGTTTTTAATTCGATCGATTTCATCTCGTACCTTGGAGTAAATCTTCCATGCTCTACTTAAGTTAAATGCCCCTTTAATCTCATTATGTCCAATAACTTGTAAGACGGACATGAAGAGAAGAACGTCAGCCAATGATAATTCACAATCCCATCGATAATTTGCACGAAGTGATGCAAATTCTGCTTCATCTTCTGCAGGTGTGCTGTTTGGTTTGATATCTTTTTTCCAAATATCAGTTCTAAATGTAGTAAATGTTGCCTCCTATAATTAATGAAAATTAATGATATCATTAAGAATTATTAAGTATTATTGAAATTACAAAAAATTAGAAACATATTTAATTTTTCACTTACAAAATCATCTTTATTATCATAAACTTTATTAGCCAATTTCTCGGCCTCGTTTAATGAATTCGTTAGTTCAGGAACTTCTTTATTCACATTTTGTCCCGACATTAAATGTTTAACTAATTGAATTTCGGCAAAGGTAACAGACCATCTTGGGATTTCATTTTTGTGTTTATCTAAAATTTTTTCAGATTCAATAATTTCATTATTCCAACTTTTCTTTACTGCTAAACCAAAATTTCCCGATAAAAGAGTTTTCCTTTGATTATCATAAATATAACTACTATACTTTTGATTCGTATCTTCAATTTTATCTGATACATCTTTGCTATCTAATTTGTTATTTGTATCTACGAACAACATTTGTAAATTATTCGAGTGTTCTGACTTTTTATCATTAGTTTTTGATAATAAATTATGAGCACTTTGATTATTGTCTAAAATCGTCTCATCATTATTTTGCATAATATTTACTTTGTTATTGACGACTAATAGTTTGATTGAAGAAGAAACAGTAGGCGGACTATTTTCATGATTTGCAAAATTCTTTTCCAATGGAGACGTATTAATATTTGATAAAGATAGATTCTCACTTTTTGTATATGTAATTGAACTATTTTGTAACTCCAAACTGAAGGCTGCTGTTAACAAACTAGTGCGAGGTGATAAAGGAGATAAAGGAATAGGAATAATATTTTTTGTATTTTCATCTAAATTATGATTCACTATGAGAGTTTCGATTTGTGAATTACTAAGAATTTCGTTCTCCGATACTTCACCCAAACGAAGGTCGATATTGAGTTTCTTTCTTTTTAAAGTAGACCATTTACCGTTACCAACTGGTGCACTTCCAGCAATTTCTGTATATTTGAGACCGTGGTCCGGAATATCATCAACAACAACATCATCATCATTACCATCCATACAACTACGATACTTTACATGTCCATTATGATGAATATGCTCGGATTTAAAGTCATAATTGTCATTTGCAGAAGATTTAAGTAATTCATATTCATTGATATTATTGGAATTATCTATATCATCATTAGAATTTTCTTTAGTGGATACTGAACGTTCAAGAACATCTTGAGGAAATTGAAAAATACAAACTCTGTCGATTTTTAACGCATCTACTACGTCCGACAGGATCAATAATCAATCCTTCAGTTATATCATCATTTAATAAGATAGAATCGTCATCATTAAATGTCTCTTCAGAAATATCAAACTTTTTACGATTCTCTAAAGATGATACGCTATCTTGAGACAACATTTTTTTGGATCAATTCGGAGATCTAAAGAATTCAGGAATGTCTTTTAATGAATGTATTCCAATGACGTAAATGAAAAAGTGGGTTATAAATGGTTAGAATCTATGTATGATGATGATAACTAAAAAAACTATATATAAGATAAATGACCAATAAAAATTTATACATGATCATAAACATAAATAGTGTACTGTGTAAATTCTAACCTTAATTTAGTAGGCTGTATGATTTGTAATGATTATCTTTGTTAGGGCAAATAAAATACCCCGTTATTCCTTTTTATGAACTTAAACATCAATATTTTACTTTAAATTACGTTTATTTATTTTTTTAAGGCAAATTATTATTAAACTCAAATAAATATAGACAATCTGCAATTATATAATTAGTTCTAATTCTTGGAATTATATTTTTTTTTGAATTCTATTAGCATACACAGTTCATTAACTATCACGGGTGATACAGGAAATGTTGGCTGATTTGGCTCCAAAGCCCGTTTATAATTTGGCCAGAACTAAATTAGGTTGGGCCAAATGATCTGTGAACTAAATGGAGTTTGGACCAGATAATTTTCTTCACTCACTTGTCGAAATTGGTGATATACATAGAACATAGGTAACCACAATCAATTTCGCCAACGACTGTTTCACACCGACAGCCTTTTCGTTGACAGCCTTTTCGCCAACAAAGTTGGCCTGATTTAGATTAGGATTTCCTGATTTATAATTAGTCGTTGGTTATATGTGTAGATTGTCGGCGAATTACCAGAACATGTACATAATATTTTTTTCATGAAAACCCGAGTTAGTTGTTTAACTAGAGATGGACAGAGTTACATATTTCTACTTACTGTTATTATTTTTAATTATTGTATTTCTTCTAATTTTTTTACGTATTAAGCAATAATAAACAAAAATATGATGTATGAGATTATTGAAATTACATTTGAAAATTGTAATGAGAAGAATCATTCGTCCAGTGTAAAAAATTGTGGGCGGATCACATATGAAATTTTCTTATTTTAATATGAAGTAAGCATGAGTGCGCACATGATTTTTTTACAATGTATTCGTCATAAGTAATAATTGGTAATAATACGCAAGTATCGAAAAAAAAACTTATACGTATTAGAAACCTTTGATTTTGCTATTATATAAAGTATGTAATTAAAATATTTTATTACTATTGACTATCTTATTATCATTGTTAAGTGTTAAGATATTACCGTATAGTTCCGAAATTAAGCACCCCTTTTTTGTTATAGGGGGTGCTTAATTTCGGATGATTTTTTTTTATCG